GGGTACCTAATTTCATGTCGTTCCTATATTGTTTAAATTGATAATACATTTCCCATGTATTATCTCTTGACTTATTAATATATTCTCTGATTACTTATCAAAAAAATATATATATATATTTTATTTTACCGAAATAAGAAAACTAGAAAATGTTACTGAAAGGAAACAAAATCCTAATCTAAAATAAAACAAAAATCCTCCTATAAAAATAACTAACTTTTATCCTATTTATAATAGGATTGTTCTACATCTTACATCAATCTACTAAGAAGATAATTTCAATCACTTTGTACATTTAACAACTATGATATGAGTGAAGGAAATAATGTTGAATTGGGTTGGTGCAGAAAAATGAAGTGCTAAGTTTCCAGAACCCCATGTATTCTCCTTTTCCACTCCACTGTGGCCATCTATAAAGTTAACCGGAAAGATTGAAATCCCCCTTGCAAGAATACTGGGCGACGGCCTCTCTGAAGACAGCGACTCTCGAATGGAGAGTTATCCCTCAACATCCAAACCCACCAGTCGACCCAACCACTGGCCTCACGCCACAAAATCATGGCCAATCCGGCCATGGAAGACACATGTAGGCAGCGGCCCTAGGTGCAAACCCCAGCGTCGCCGCTCGAGATCTGAAATTGCGCCATGCTCCGATGATCTACAAGGCCCAAGCGCTTGACCGGACGACAACACAGGCCATTCCGACTACGGCGAATGCGGTGCAGTTTCCTGGTGGCGCTTCGACAGCACGCGTCGGCGACTGGTATTCTACAGAACCGGCATGACCTGCCCAGGTCATGCCACCCCCTCGTTCTACTGTCGGATGCACCACTTTAGCGGCATGTGGAAATGTTTGGTACAAAGGAGTTCAATCTTCGATTTAGAGTGGAAGCAAAGGAGTTTTTTTTGTCTATTAATGAATTCAGTATTGTTATGTTGATCGAATGGGGACCGATGACATCGAATGCAATATATATAGGAGGTTTGGTGCCTTGTGGATGTTGAATATGATGGATAAATTGAGGGGGGCAAGCAAGCAGGAGGAGTTTATTGCCAAGTTTTTCTAGTCATCGAGAGCTTTTATGGTACAGCGTTGTGGAAACAGTCGAGGTAGGTATCTGACGATAGCACAATATGTGGAGAGACGTCGTAAAGGAGTGGTGATGGTACCGGAAGGTGCAAATGGAGAGGGATGGGCGTCGATGATGCGAATGTTTCAGGCAGTTG